GCAGTAACTTACAAGATATAGGTGTCTAATTTTCTAAATCAGACAGAAGTTGCTCAGGAATTAAGGTCAGCAATCAACAAGTGGGACCTCATTAAACTAAAAAGCTTCTGTACAGCAAAAGAAACAAAAAAGTAAAGAGAAAACCCACAGAATGGGAAAAAAACTTCACCAGTGACACATCTGACAGGGGTCTAACATCCAGACTATGTAAAGAACTCAAAAACCAAAGAATCAAGAAACCAAATGACTCTATTAAAAGATGGGCTAAAGATCTAAACAGAGTTCTCAAATGAAGAAATAAAGATGACTAAGAAATATCTCAAAAAGTGTTCAACATCATAATTAGGGAAATGCAAATTAAAACCACCCTAAGGTATTATCTTATCCTAATCAGACTGGCTAGGATCAAGAGAACAAATGATACCAAATGCTGGCGGAGATGTGAAGAAAGGGAAACGCTCATTCACTGTTGGTGGGATTGCAAACTCGTGCAACCTCTACGGAAAACAGTGTGGAGAACTCTTAAAAAATTAAAAATGAACCTACCGTATGACCCGATTTTACCACTCCTTGGCATATACCCAAAAGACTCATCATATTGCAGAGACGCTTATACAACCATGTTTGTTGCTGCTCTTTTCACAATAACTAAGAGATGGAAGCAACCTAAGTGCCCCTCAACTGACCCTCCAGGTCCTTTAAATAAGATGATGCTATACAGCAGTCCCCTCTGCATGAAATAACTACCATCATCACTTCAGCTGAGCCTGATCACTAAACATCATCACAACTGGGCTTGTTGACAGTTGTGCTCATTCATTAAAGGAGGGCCAAGCAGGGTCATTGGACCCTCACTGCTCTCCCCAGATAACTGTATATAATTTGACCCTAATCACACATGGCCAAGATGATGCTATACAGCAGTCCCCTCTGCATGAAATAACTACCATCATCACTTCAGCTGAGCCTGATCACTAAACATCATCACAACTGGGCTTGTTGACAGTTGTGCTCATTCATTAAAGGAGGGCCAAGCAGGGTCATTGGACCCTCACTGCTCTCCCCAGATAACTGTATATAATTTGACCCTAATCACACATGGCCTCCTGAATTTGGAGAAAGCTAAAGTATACAATCTGGGGAAGGCTAGGAAGAGAAGGCATGACCCATGCTCGGTAAAAGCTTTCCAGTGTGCATACCCTCAGGTCATACATACACCTCAGCAACCTCTCAGTTATCTTGGTAAGTAAGCTCAATAAATTCATTGGTTCCCCAGTAAAACTTTAATCAAACATTGGCTTGACACTAGAACCTTGAAAGGGAATAAGCATTGCTTATCATGCCCAGGAAAAGTCTCACAACAGATGGAAAATTTATTTATTAATGCTATTATGTCTCATAATTATTAAAAAAAAAAAAAAAAGAAAATGAGAATGTAAAAGATGTTAAAAGGACATGGGAATGGAGATGTTTTCCAAAATAGACAGAAAAATGAGAAAGCAGCAAGTGATGAAAGTCTGTGTAGGTTTGTTATGATATATAAAGGATGAGACAAAAGTAATATACACATAACCTTAAAATTTCTAAGGTCATAGTTTAGTCAACTAGGTTAAGGAACAAAATATACATCTAGTCAAGGTTTATCTGAGACT